TTAATTATTGCACAAACTATTGGAGGTGTTTTAGGTGATTCATGGTACCTGGTATTAGAAACACTACAACTAGTACATTATAGATTCTTTTCAAAGCATGCTAATAAGAAAAAGAATCGCAGGATTAATATGCACCATATCAAATCTGAATCTGTCAATTCTTTAACTTCGCAAATAACTTCATGTAGTAGTACTTCATCTCTCAATCAAACAACTACTCCATTAATTGTTCAAATATCATATCTGAATCCCTCTGAAGCTACAGATAATTACCCTCAACCATTGGACAATGTATCTCAAACTGAGACACCTATAGTCTCTTATTCTGGATCATTTAAAGATAAATTAAATAGTCTCAAGATGCAAGTTATGATGTTGGTTGATAATTGCAAGTTTCTTAATGATACAGCTTTACAATGGTTTATACGATCCTTGTGTAAGCTTAATGCCCAAGCATGTGGTATTCAACTTAATGAAGAATTTCAAGTGGCTGGTCAAGAATTAATATTTGTCGATAATTATATACATAAACCAATTACTTTAAAAGATTTACATGTCAATGTAAGAATTTCAACTTTATATATGCAAAATGAGTCTTTTATTATTTATAATACATAATATATAAATTTAAATATTTTAATTTAATTAAATTTTATTTTTTAAATTATAGAAGAATTATAAGAAGTCTTTTACAATTAAAGTATTGCATTCTGCGACGATTTTAAATATGCATCGAATGATTGCATGTGATCCATCTTTAATCTGGGATTTAGTTACATCTCACCTAATCATAACTACGAATCATATTTCAACACCTTATCATATTCGTATACAAGCTTGTAAAGCTCTTGCAGACATTATAGTTTCAGCTGTTAATTATGTTTCTTTATCACAAATAAAGAATAATGAACGTATTCAATCTCAACTTCTTATTTCTCTTTATCATATGATTGATAATTCTGAATGGATTTCTCTACGTTCGAGTAGTGGTGTTTATGTTGAAGTTCAAAAAATTAGACTAGAAACATTATATAAAGTATTAGAAACTTCTGGTAGAGCTGGATATTCTTTTACTTTTGGGTGGAATGTTATTTTAGACATTATTAAGAGTGTCTGCGTGTATACTGGTTCTGGTGAAACTATGGAAAATGATGCTGTTAGTGACGATAGTCTTAGTATATTGGATGAATCAATATTTTATATATCGGATACAAAATCTTCAGGTTTAGTTCTTGTGGCATTTCCTTCATTACAACTTATTTG